TTTTTTTTTTAATGATTTTGAGGTTTTTCCACATTGTTCTCACATTCCATCCAGGATCTCCTGCCCAGATCCCCCTCCAAGTGGTTGACATTGGTAGCCAGGCACCATCTAGTTCTTCTGGTCTCATGGTCATACAGGCTGAGGATCACATGGTCTACTAGTGCCTTAGACTAACTGTTTCCATGCATCTTTGTTTTCTTCATTCCTCTCTGTCTGCATGAGGAGAGACCCATCATTGCATCTAGATAGCAACCTACAAACTTCTAAGACCCCAGTCTCCACTCACCAAAGCAAGATGTAGAACAATGATCTTGTGTAGTATATTATGCCAATTGAGCTTGATATCCCCCACAACCATGGTCCTGAGCCCACAGGTCCAACCACTCACTCCCTCCAGGTTGCTGGCTGTGGCTGAGAAGCCACCACAACCTTGTCCCTTGTAAGCTCTACTGTACACCCAGACATTCTTACAGCACATACAAATATGCATGTAGAAACATCTGCCAACCCTACACATGGTCATGGGCACACTCCCCTCTGCCTAGTGGTATCTGACTGTTCAGCCTGCCCACCGATCTGTCCACCCATAGATCAGTGCTTGACATCACTGACAACGCAGTACTGTACATGCAAAAGGATTCATCTTTGTTGTCTGTACCTCCCATGCACCTCTAAATGTCTTCCTCTTCCTCAGTGCCACTGTGAATGGTCCTTATTTTTTCAAATATTCTACCAAGATTATGAATAATTGTAGTTATTCATGCCCTTGCTGTATCACATGAACTCATGGGAGTAAATTCACTTTGAAATTTAAAATATTCCACATTTAATGCAAGTTAATTTTATTTGTTACAAATATATTAGAATGTCCCAGAATTATCCAATTGCTCATTTTCTAAATTTCAGTGTATCCACTTTAGCAAAAAAGGAAGAGAAATTCACGTTGTTTCTGACTTCCTCAGCATAATTTTGCTCCCTCTGAACAGAGAAGCCAAGATGACTTATAAGGCCGTTATTTACAAAGATGTGTGCCGCGGTGTTTATACAAACATACGTGCAAATAAACCCAGAACATGAGACATCATAAAAACTATACCAAGCAGAAGGTTATTTTTTAACCTTATTAAAACAAGTAGAAATACACAGCTTTTTTCCTCCTCAAAAGAGCATGTTATTACCTCTACCCCCCCCCATGTCAATGTAATAATGTTCTGTGTTTGAAAATTTAATGTTCAGCCAATGGGTGAATTCCTTTTTAAATTTTCTTTTTAAAAT